TTATGGAGAGTCAACTTATCCCCCAAATACAAGAATGGTTTCCAAATAACAATACATTTATGTTTATGCATGATAGTGATCCATGCCATAAAGCTAAAAGGTTCACAAACTTTCTTAAAACAAAAAATATCCCCGTTTTAGATTGGCCAGGAAACTCTCCTGACCTGAATCCGATTGAGGATTTGCGGAACATTCTCAAAAAGGAAATCTTTTCTGAGGTTTCAACAAACAAAAAGGATTTGATTGAAATTAAAAATTACTCTATCATTGGCATCACAATGAAAAAATTAAGACAGCAGCAATAAACTGTATTAAAAGTATGCCAGACCAAATATCTAAAGTCATTTTGTTGAAAGGAGGAATGACAAAATATTAATATTTTTTTATAACTTGCAATCAAAAAGAGTAATTGTTTGTTAAAATGTGTGTATATTGATATTGAAATATTATTTTGTTATTAAGGAAACATGTTTTATCAATAAAATATAACTAATATTGCAATTGCACTTTTTTTATACTTTTTACAAACCCTTGAAGTTAAAAATACACAAAAACTGTAGGTGATCATAATATTGTGGCCAGGTACTGTATACATAACATTTGATAACATTTAAATTTTATAAAAAATTTAAATGTTATCAAAATGATTAAAGAACATTTTCTCCTCTAGGTGTGCCCATCATATGATTAATAACAGAATAAGTCTTCGATTTCTTCATATTCATAGTTATACTATATATAAAAAAAGCTACCTGAACAGTATTAACTCTATCAATTGATTCATTCAATGCTAGACATTGCTTGACAGTGCTTTAAATTTATTTAATTTTTCTTTTAATAATATTTTATAGTGAATATTATGTTAGTTGATGTAAAATAGTATCTGTTATATTAGTTGGAGGTTTAATAACACAGAATAAATTGTAATTGAATAATAGTGGTTTGGAATTATTATTATTAACTGTTGGAATATCACAAAGAATAAAGGTTCTGGGAAATTAGAAATAAATATATAATTTAAATAAAAGTAAACTCATGTTACCACTGCATAACATTTTGGAGGCACTGCCCAGATCAGAAGTGCATTCTATCTCTGCTTGGGCCAATTAATCTATCTACCTAAATGAAGTTTAAATTTTGTTTATTTTGTTATTTTACTCACATCCGATTACTCAAACAGAACAGTAGCTATATTGACTTTATTGACTTTGTGATTTACATATGAGCCGTTTATGATCGGGTAAAATATGCCCGTATACTGAACCTAATCATTGTGCCCATATCGCTCCTAATCCTCATACTTCTCTAAACAACTCCTCCGATTCTACCAACTCCTTAGACCTCTCAGACACCAATCCGGTTAAAACCGAAATAAGTCGTTCCCCAACAAATCCTGAAGTGAAGAATAACATGTCACATGAACAAATTTTAGGAAGTTTGGCGCTAAAACCAAGCCAAGAATTACATCAGAAAGTTTTTAAGGGCACAGAAGTAGAAGACATTACCAAATGGTTGGCCAGCTTTTGTCATATTGCGCTTCATAATCAATGGACAGACAAAAGGAAATTATTAGTGTTTCTACTTTATTTAGAAGGCAGCACTCTAGTTTATAATGAGACATTTCCCGCGCTCACTAGGAATGACTAGGAACTAGGAGTCACAAACTCAACCATGTCTCGCCTCGAAGCTAAACTTGATGCATTACTCAACCCCGTCAGACAACCAATTGCAGCTGTTATCCAACATGAAATCCCCAATACATATAAATGAATAGAAGAATTAAAAGCCGAAATAGAATCAATAAAGAGATTTAGCAACCATCCAACCAGGAATAAAAGATTTAGACCAATGGGATGTAACCTTCGCACAAGTGACAAACAAGTAATTTGTAATAGATGCCTTAGAGTATAGTGGAAAGTTTATGGTAAACCCGTAATTATTCTTATGGATACGCAAGGTGTAGTGTGATTGATTCAACCATTTATGAAAGTGTAAAGAATAAAGTTGCTGAGCCAACTCCTTATTTTGGCAGGTTAAAGACAGCAAATGGAACTCCACTTCATATTGTAAGACAGTTCGTTTGCAATATCAATATTGGAACCAACACATTTAAGCATCAAGTTATGGTTGGAAAAAATTTGACACACCCGTTAATTCTGGGTTACAATTTTATGTGGCAATACAACGTAGGTCTAGACTAGGTCAACACTAGGTAGAATTTGGGAACAAGTTAAGTATCCTGATGATTAAAGAAACAGTTAATGATAAGTTCACTACTCCAATTAATGTTGAAAAGCCCAATATTGAGCCTGGTATAGAAAGACGAAGCAGTAATTTGTGCCTCACATTTGATCCCTACTTAAAACCAAATTCCTACGCTCATAATACTGCTGGTATACATTTTGAAAATAAAGACAATATTCGACCACCGAAACCATGTGACGCACCTCCCAATTGTAACTGCCAAATTGTACCAGAAAAAGTTGTTCAAACCGAAAATAATAGTCAGAAACAAGTGATATTTGAAGATACAGAAACAAATAAAATATCAAAAATCCCCGGTGGTTCCAAAAAAAAAAATATATAAATAAAAGACGACCAAAATATCGATTGTCACAGTCAATTGTCGATGTAAGAAAGATAATGTTTCCTATTCTTATATTAAGTATGTTCCTTCTACTAATGGTTATGACAGGTATTTATGTTTGCGAAGTATTTGATTGTACAAGAGTACAACTGACAAGAATTTTTCAATTACGGACACTTATCACTATCAGCGACATTAACAGTGGTGATGTCTTAACTGGTATTGGTAGGGCTTTAGGTAGTGCCCTACAAGCTACCGCAAGTGACGGGAGCCAGATTATTAAAGCTATTGGTGATGCCATCAAGGATTCGCTTAATGGAGTTTCCCACTTAGATGAGAAATTAGTTCATTCTATTGGCATTGCTTCATCTCCAGTTTTAAAAGCTGCCAGAGGTGCTGTAAAAGATGTAGGAGAAGGAGCAGATTCCTTCTTCCAAAAAGTTATTGGTGGAATAAGTGGAAAACCACAGATAACATAATAGTAGGAAAACCAATATCCCAGGACTAGTCAACAATAATATCCCCAAGAAAAAATAAGCACTCCGCACGTGAATGTAAATGCTCTATTTGTAAGAATGATATGACGAACTAAACCTGATGATTGACGGTAATGGCAGGTATTTTGATTCCTGGATGGAGATGTGAAACGCTTCCAACCACCATGAGTTTTCTACATGTTGAGTGAATACTGTATTAATAAGATGTCTGATGTTTTACAATGGTAAAATTTTATGATGCTGTTCGGCAACAATGTTATACAATGATGATTTCTGATAATGAGTTATGAAACTGTTTTACAATAATGCTGTCTTGCAATGATGATTTTTACGAAACTGTCTCAAGAGTAATAAATTTATATGAATTTTTGTTTCATAAGGATGAACTTTGTGATGCTGTTTAGCAACGATGCTTTACAATTTTTTTTATATAATGATAAACTTTGTGATGCTGTTTAGCAATGATAAATTTTTATGTTTTGCAATTACCTGATGGTGCTGCTATACGCAATTTTGCTGTTTTGCTGTTTATACAAAACATTAATTTGCTAATCTTGTTGTTTGGCTGTTTGTTTTAAACTGTGATTATTTTTAAGTACTTCTTCACAAAGACTTTTTAGCATTTCTACTGTTTTGTATCTGAGTCCAAGGACGGACTTTTTGCTTTGTTGAAAGTAATGTTACAAAAGTAACAACCGATCAAGGGTAATTGATAAGTAAACAAAGCACTGAAGCGTGAATGCGTCTAACAATCAATTTTGATTAAAAACAATTGGACCAAAACATGTCCAATCAAACCGACATGATATAAATAGAAGACGAAATCAGAGAGTTGGTGTGAAAAGAGTTCACTCAATCGTTCGCTCAGACTTCGTAGAATCGTTTGATGTTGAGAAGAGAATATAAATAGAAGACAAGATATTAAGAAGGATCTTATAGAATAATACATATATAGTGAATATTATCTTAGTTAATGTAAAATAGTATCTATTATATTATTTGGAGTTTTAATAATACAGAATAAATTGTAATTGAATAATAGTGGTTTGGAAATATTATTATTAACTGTTAAAATATAGCAAAGAATAAAGGTTCTGGGAAATTAGAAATAAATATATAATTTAAATAAAAGTAAACTCTTTTTACCACTGTGTAACACAATAAAACTACCATATTCTTTTCTACTTGATAAATTTGGGTGATTTCTTAATGATATTTCTACTTAAAAAACCAATTTTTGTAATTTTTGATTGAATATCTTTAATTTAATTTATGTTTTGACATATTCTTATCTTGATTAAGAATTTACATTTTTTATGATGTTTTATAAAGATTAGCAAAGGTGTGTTTTAACATACCTAATTTGCTGTTTGCCTTGTTCACAATTGTTTTAATGTAATTTTCCTGTATTTATAAATCATTTCTACTTAAAATGATTGTGCCCTTAAGAATACTTTCTGTGATTTTAAATGTGTACTCATTTTTTCCTAATTAAAATAATCAAAATTTAGTAAAAAAAAGTTAAAAGCTATTAATTTCATAAAGAATACAATTTTTAGCTTATTTTTATTTAGTATGTTTATTATTTTATAAATTAAAAAAAAACTTATAAAAAACAAAAACAAATTTAAAAGAAGAATTAATTTAAAATAACTTTAAATTTAGATAAGATTAATTAGTATTAAGTATTAGAAAAAATATCTCAACTCTACAAAGTAACAAGAATATCCTAACCCTTTAATCTTTAAAATAAATCTTTAACCTTTAAAACTTTATTTTTAAAGATTTAATTAAATAAAAAACTGAAACTGAACTAATTAAAAAAATTGCATTTAATTTAATGGTTTTATCATTTATTAGAAACATTACATTAACTTATATAATTATTTCATATAAAATTGTTTATAGAAACTTACCAATAATAACACTAGACATAGGCATAAAATTTGAAGCCACTTGTAACCTAAAAATATTAAAATACAAAACTCTAATATACTAAAAAATACTGAGAATATAATTAAAAATATTATAACAATAGTAAAAATGAATGCTTTAGAAAAATAATAAACCCAGAAAAACTTAACATTCTCTAATTTTGCAAAATGTTTTTTTAGCATCTTAAATATTTAACTATATCTTTTAATTAATTATTTATACAATAAATATTTTATTATTTATTGTATAAATAATTAATTATTTATACAATAAATAATAAAACAGACAGGTCACAGACAGGTCACAGTTACAAATTGCAATCACTATGATTCTGATATATTTTTGATTGCGCTATTTTGTTGTTTTCAGAAACTATCTTATTACTTTTTTTTTATTTTTTTATTTTTTATTTTCTATTTTCTTTATTTCATAAAATTACGTCAAAAATGGCATTTCTAGTAAAATAATAACCTTAAACACATTTCAAAGACTGTTAAAAATTAAATCATATCTAATTAAGACCATTTTTCAGGCTAGCTAAGTCAAAGTCTTAATCTGTCTCATTGAAAATTTATGTGAGGAATATGATTGTCAAGTTAAAGAAGGAAATTGTCCTAACAAAAAGAATTTGTTTAAAGATGAAACAAATCGTTGACTCAATGCCTTAAAGATGATAAAAATTATCTGAAACGCTAGAAAAGTAATAATCTAGAAAAATTATGCCATGTGTAATACACTAGAAAAACTATGCCATGTGTAATAAGCTAGAAAAACTGCTATAAAAGGACACCAAATATTGATTAACAAAAATATAAATTTCATTGATTCTTCATTCTTAAAATTTTTTTTTTTTAATTAAAGTAAAAACCTATTTGACCCAAGGAAAACCAAAAACTAATTATTCAAAATATATTAAAGCAAAAACCATTAAAAATTTTATACTTTACTAGGAATGTCAGTAGTATAGTATAGTTTGTCTTCCTTATCATTACTTATTTTTTTCAGCCCAAAATTTTGTTGTCCAACAAGTTGAAAGTTTGATTTAACTTGTTAACCATTTAGTTGTCCGACCTACTGGAAGTTGATTTAATTTGTTAGTTATTTAGTTGTCAAACTCTTTCACAAGTTTAACGCTTGATTGTTAATTATTGAGTTATCCAAAAAGCTGAAAGTTTGATTGGTAATTATTTAATAGCAGCAAACCTCAAATAACTGCACAACAATCACAAATCCACGCAACAAAATGCACACAACACAGCAATCAACAACCCCACACAGTAAAATAAAGATGTAAATCTTTCAATTAATTTTTTTTTTTTTTTTGACTAATGTTTTTCATCTAACAAGGGCTGAGGGGAGGGGGAACTGCAGTCAAAGACACTACTTTTTAAAAAGATAAGGTAAAAAAAAATGTTTTTTTACCTTATTATTTGATTACCTTATTTGATTTTCCAAAAAACTCTGTTTTTTGGAAAATCAAAAAACAGAGTTATGCTCAAAATCTCTAAGTTAAATAAAAGATATTCATTTAACTTTTTTGAGACTTGAGAGTAAAATTATTTGTAACTAGTTCAAGTTTTTTTTTAATTTTTATAAAAGCATTTTCTGAAATATTGACTTTTGAAAATTAAAAAAAACATTTTAGTCCCAGGTAGTAATTTAATTTTACTATTTAACTGAGACTGGATCTAGAACCAGGTTTATTACTAAGATTAAATTTAGCTAAAGCACCAGTTGATTACTTACCAAAAACTTGTGGACAAAATTTTTCTTCCTTTAACCCATGCCAATCTGGCTTTATTACAGTAATGAAACATTAAAGGAGATCAGAATGATATTTCCAAATTATCAGATGCTTAAGTAACAGGTGTTGTGTTCACTGGACCACAGGTATAACAAGGTTTTGAAAACATAATGAAAGAAAAAAGAGTCCATGGGCTGCATTTAAGCATATTGTTTCTGATTTTCTGGAAAGTAACAAGGTTAAAAACTAATTAGAAAATCGTTGATGAACTGCTGGATATCAGAAGTTAGGCTCCATAATGTAACTCAAACTATTTATATTTTGTTATATTTTATTTTATTTCATTTTGATTTTGATTTTTACATTAAAATCATAAATTTTCTTTCACATAAATTTAAGAGTTGTCAAAAAAAATACAGATAAATGTTTCGCCAGGTCATCCAGATGATTAAGATAATAAAACAAAGAAGATGAAATGAAATCAAGATGGATGACTATAACTGTAGCATATTTCTAAGCTTTTGAAATTAAATTTTTTGTTTTTGTTTTTATTTAATATCCATGGTTACAAATTATGGTTTCACATGGTCTGATTTGGACAAGAACTTATAATTCCATATTTTTATTTAAGTAAGTTTAGATTACACTTTTACAAGATATATTTTTGATTGTCTATATTATTCAATATGAATTTGATAAGATAATGATTATTTATTAAATAATATTTGTAACAATATATAATTTTTTGTACAGATTCTGAAACAATAATTATTACTATTACAATGATAATAATAAAAATAAAAATAATATTAATTATTATTATTATATTAACTACTATATTTAACTTTTAGATTTTTGTATTTTATAACTTAGTAATACAAATTTTTTTTTGTAACCCTGTCATAATCACTGTTATCAAGCAGCATAGCACTTTTTAAAAATTGCATAGATTATGCAAAACAAAAACAAGCTAGCTAAATGACAGAGCAATTAAAAAGTATTTATCATATATTATAGCATATACCATCATATATATATATATATATATATATATATACATATATATATATATATATCATATATATATATATATATATGATATATATATATATATATCATATATATATATATATATATATATATATATATATATATATATATATATATCATATATATATCATGTATATATATATATATATATATATATATCATATATATCATAAATATATATATATATATCATATATATATATATATATATATATATATATATATATATATATATATATATATATATATATATATATATATCATATATATATATATCATATATATCATATATATATATATATATCATATATATCATATATATATATATATATATATATATATATATCATATATATCATTTATATCATATATATATATATATATATCATATATATCATATATATATATCATATATCATATATCATATATATATATCATATATCATATATCATATATATATATATACATATATATATATATATATATATATATATATATATATATCATATATATATATATATATATATATATATCATATATATATATCATATATATATATATATATATATATATCATATATATATATATATATATATATATATATATATATATATATATATATATCATATATATCATATATATATATATATATATATAATATATATATATATATATATATATATATCATATATATATATATATCATATATATATATATATCATGTATATATATATATATATATATATATATATATATATCATATATATATATGATATATATATATATCATATATATCATATATATTAATTGTAAATATATGGACATAGAAAGTTAACTCTTCTAACATCGACAAAAATAATTTTTCTCTTTTTCATTTAAATATTGCTTCTCTTGTTAAAAATTTTGACGAATTAAACTCACTTTTATCTCTTATTAATCATAAATTCAGTATTATTGGCATAACTGAAACTAAACTAAAAAATGACATTTTACCAACTATCCCATTAAATCTTACCGGTTATGTTTATGAGCACACTCCGACAAAATCTTATTTTGGAGGAGCTTTTCTTTATATATCATTTACAAACTTCGATATGATCTTAATATGCTTAAACCAAAGCTTTTAGAATCTGTGTTTGTGGAAATCATAATTCCTAAAAAATCAAACATCATTATTGGCTGTATTTATCGCCATCCTAGTATGGATATTTCATAATTTATTAAATCATATTTAATTCCACTTTTTGAAAAGCTATCTATGGAAAAAAACAAAACTACTTTTTTAATAGGCAATTTTAATGTCGATCTTTTATTAGCAAACTCAGATAATTCTGTCTCTGAATTTTTAGACACTACTACTTTAAATAACTTTCTTCCTTTTATTTCATTGCCAACAAGAATCAGAAATCACTCCAAAACTCTAATTGATAAAATATTTTCTAATACAACTTCTACACATATTTTTGCCGGTAATTTCTACAGTATCAGATCATTTGCCCCAATTTTTAATACATCCATTTTATAGAACCAAAATTGATACTCGTAAAAGCTGCATTTTTTGTCGAAATTTAAAACAAATAAATTGCGTCGAATTATGAGTGATTTATCAAAAATTAGCTGGACTAATGTAATTAATGTCAACGAAGGTAAGACTAATAAGTCATTTGAAGAGTTTTTCTCAAATTTCAATTCTCTTTTAGATAAACGTGCACCATTGCAAAAAAAGTCAGCAATCTCTGCTTATCAAAGGGTCTCAAACCTTGGATAACACGAGGAATCAACAGAATTCAATTTAAAAATATATTGTTGGAGTGTATTTCTTTATAATTTGTCTGTACTGTACTGTAGTTGTCTTCAATATATAATCTTTTTACCAAACAAGTGGTTTGATTTTTATTTTATTTATCATTTACCTATCTTATATTTATTTATTATTGTGTTATTAATGTTACATTTTATGTCATTATTATATCTAATTATCATCTATGATTTGTACATACAATTTATATTGTATTATAATATTCTTAATATTATTGGTACTTTATTATTATTGTTATTATTTTGTATTATTACTATTATTATTACATATATCATTATTATTTGTTTAACAATCTTTTCTTCTTTTCTCTCTTATTTATATATACAGATGTTGAGTTTCTTTATATATATATATATATATATATATATATATATATATATATATATATATATATATATATATATATATATATATATATATATATATATATATATATATATATATATATATATATATATATATATATATATATATATATATATATATATATATATATATATATATATATATATATATATATATATATATATATATATATATATATATATATATATATATATATATATATATATATATATATATATCCTTGTTTTAAAGCGTTACGCCTAGAGCGATTTACGTACGCCTTAAGCGCTTTTTACGTACGCGTAGAGCTGTTTTGGTTAAGCTACTTTTTATCATTTTTTAACTTTTAAATTAGCGGTAACATAAAAGAAGTAATTAATTTTCAAAAAAACCACATTAACTTTTAAATAACGTTATGTAAAGGTATTTATTAAAAAAAAGAATTTACTTTAAAAATAATTATTGTAACTTTTCATTGCGATATATCTTTCCTTTTTATAGCAATTAATTTGACGCTAAACTTTTTTTATCCAAATATTTAGCAACATGAAAAATTGTTTTTCAATCCTTAACTACAAATTTTTTGCAATGTTTTTAATAAAAAGTAGTAAATTTTTAAAGTTTTTAGTAAAAAACTTTTAAAAAATCTATATTCCATATTTATTAATACAGAATATAAAAGTTTTTTGTAATATAGATTTTTTATGAATTTTTCACTGAATTTATAATAAAAAACATTTGCAAAAAAATTTGTAATTAAGATTTGACATTTTTTTTTAATAAAATCTCAAAAAATGTCTTAATATTTTTGTTATCATGATAACAAAAATATCAAGACATTTTTTCGAGATGTTTAAAAAAATGTCTTTGCTTTTCTTATTAGTTTAATAGTATATAGCTTATAGTTAGTTTAATAGTATATAGCTTTTCTTATTAGTTTATTAGTATATAGTTTAAGTTATGCGGGGGGAGGGGGTCGGCACAGAAAAAAAAAATTATCTGTTACTCGCAATATTTGAATGAAGACAATTTGTTAAAATTCTTCTGCGTGCGATTCAATAAGTTTTTTTTTTCATAAATCAAGTTATAATATAAGGTAAAGAAATCATGAGTAGACTACAACATCCGCTGATGACACTAATATTACGCTGAATATATTTATATAACGGAGGTTTTATTATGCACGCGCACATTACAGGTTCCGTTAAATAAATACTAAGGCACGTTTTAGTTTAATGACAGTCTCCATTTTTTACTAATGAATATGTATTTTTCTTTATAAAACAAAACAAACTAGTATATAAAAACCTTGTATATTTCTATTATCTCTAAATTGTTTAAAGTTCGAATATGGATTGTATTTTGAAGGACAAAAGATTTACTTTAAAAACTTTTAAATCTTGGGACTTTGCCGATGCTTTGATCACAGAAAAAGAGAAGACTTACGTTATTAAAATCAAATGTAAGTTATGTGATCTTCATCAAAATAAAATATTATCCAAAAACAATAGTGCCGTAAGGGCAACTGCCCAACGGTTTATAAATAATACAAGTCATGTTAAAATATTTTAACATGTTACTATAATTTAATTAAGTTGATATATAATTAAAAATAAAAATATAGTTCAATAAATAACTTAAATTTATTCTTGACAAAGATTACCTCATATTTATTCTTTTTTTTATTTTATTAAGTTAAATTGCTTACAAACGAAAAAAAAAAAGAGTTTTGCAATTATACATAGAATGAAAATACTTTTGAGTTTTTATAGTTAAGGAACTTAATTTTTAACAAACAAATTTTTACGAACGTTTATTATAAACAGATACGATTCAAATTATTAAATATACTTAAATTATTTCAGTTGAGTATTTTTTAAAGTTTGCACGATTAAAGTTTGGCGTAGAAGTACTTGTTTTTTTTGTTTTAAGAATAATTAACAAAAGAGTTTGCATAGTTAAGACTTTTATATTTAATTTAATTTTTTTTTTAATTTCCTAAAATTAAAAAAAAAAAAGATTTAATCGTTGAAAACGATTTTTCTCTATAGCTCTGTTTCTTTGTGATTTGTTTAAAAAGTTGAATATTTTTACAATAACATAAAAAATTTATGAATTAAATTCCTAGCGAACGCGTTCTAAACTACGTATCAAAAATATGCACAAAGCAGACAAAACTTTTTTATATTCTTATAAAACGCAAGTTTGAAACGCTTTTAAAAATTTTTAAAATATTTAAAAACTTAAATTTTTCATTGCTAGTCAAAACAAAATCGTTGTTTAAATAATTAACATGGGTTTGCGTTTATCAATGTTAATATTTTTTGTTTACTCTAGAAATTTTTAAAAATAAAAAAAATCATTATTATTTTTTATTTAATAACAATTAAAAACAATTATTCAAAAACAAATTTCAGAAATAATTAATATATATATATATATATATATATATATATATATATATATATATATATATATATATATATATATATATATATATATATATATATATATATATATATATATATATATATATATATATTTTACTAAATAATATTGAACTAAAATTAATAATAAAATAACAATTGAAAACATTACAAAATTTTCATAATAAATTTATATTTGAGTTAATTGTTAAATTGAACTAGTTTGCGGTTATTTATTTATTGCGGTAGTTAAAACACTTAACATCTATAAAAAAAAATAAAGATAATTTTATGACGTCAAAATCGCGTTAAGCTAATGCATTAAGCACTTTTTCATTTAAAACAAGGCCTGATATATATATATATATATATATATATATATATATATATATATATATATATATATATATATATATATATATATATATATATAAATATATATATATATATATATATATATATATATATATATATATATATATATATATATATATATATATATATATATATATATATATTATATATTATAGCCATTTCATTCATAGGTCAATGCAAAATAAAAAACATATTTACCATCCTCCTGGTGCAGCACAAAGGTCGATCAATACTCTGGATTCTTGTAAAAAAGCAAACTTTCTGTTCAATTGAATTAATTTAAAGGCAGATCGAGCCCTATAACCTTCAAAGTATAAGTGAATTAATAACTGGATTTAAAAAATAACTGAACAAGTAGAAGTATATTATAGATTTTACTTCTATATTAGGTTATTTCAAAAAATTAAATTATTATAAAATATCTGCTGGCTTAATATGTTCTATCTGATAAAATGAAACTTAATTTAAAATTTTTTTGAATAAAAAGGGGTTACTACAGACCTTTGAACATAAAACAGGTCCATAATATTAAAGCAAAAAAACTTTTCAGAAAGCAAGTCATGTTGTGTCTCAAAACTAACATTTTATAAAAAATGTTTGATTTCATGATTTTATTGCAAAAATTATTCTTTCAACAAAAAATGAAAAAAGAACATTTTTACAAGATTTTTTAATGATAACTTTTTTTTTAATATAAAATGATTATCACAATGATTACACTGGCCAACAAAGATTTTGCGGCAAAACATTTGGGGGTCATTTTATAGGTAACTTGTTGCCCTGATTCCGAATATGACCTCCGTTTTCCTAGATTGGCTCTAGTTTTTGAGATACAGGGTGGTCACGAAAGTACATTAATAGCAACAATTTATGTTAGGTTGTAGCGTAATTCACAAAAAAAACACTAGATATATATATCAAATTGTTTATGGGGAAGTACATACAATGCTAATAGATCGAAACATTCAAATCAGTACAATCAAATCACAATTAATGCATTAAAAATCGATGTCTGTATGATTGTTTTTTGTGTGGAGAATGTGGACAATCAGGTTGAAGGCTCCAACAATAGTCAGCCATCATGTGTGTATCCAATCTTCCTTGGTATCTTTCTTCCATTACCTTGATATCTTGATGGAACCTCTCCCCTTGTTCCTTACTATAACTTCCTAGATTATCGGGAAACCGATCTAAGTGACTATGTAGAAAGTGAACTTTTATGCTCATATTAGCTTTCAATGTTTTGAAGTCTGAAAGCATTTTCTGTACGATTTCTTCATAGTCGGGAGATTTATGGTTGCCCAAAAAGTTATGAACAACCAAGACAAAACTTTTCCAGGCAGATGCTTCAATATCTATCATTGTATATAGGAACTGCTCATCCTTGATGATTTGGCGAATTTGAGGGCCGCTAAAGATTCCAGCTTTGATTTTCTCCATACTCAAGCCTGGAAAAAATCTGCAAATATATTTGAAACATTGACCATCTTTGTCTAGGGCTCTTACAAATTGCTTCATCAGTCCTAGTTTGATGTGGAGTGGTGGGAAAATAATTTTTCCCCTGTCTACCAGTGGTTCGTTAATGATATTTGATGCACCTACAGTCATATTTTCCCTAGCAGGCCATACCACCTTTTTCCAGTGGTCTTCTTTAGCCCTACTATCCCACAAACATATGAAGCAAGGGTACTTAGTATATCCACTTTGCTGCCCTAGTAAGAAGTTTACCATCTTTAAATCAACACATATAGACCACTGGTGCTCATTGTATCTAAGCTTCTGCAACATCATTCTTATATTTTCATATTCCTCTTTCAGTTTTGTTGAGTGAAGTATTGGGATGGATGCATAACTATTGCTATTGTGCAATAAAACACACTTCAAACTTCTCATCGAACTATCTATAAACAATCGCCAATCTTCTGGTCGGTATTCAGGTAACCCCATTTGGAGGAGGAGTCCAGGGATGTTCCTACAGTATACTATTTTTTCTTCTTGAATGAAATATGGAAGAAGTGCTGCCTCTCTTGTCCGAAAAAAAGTTATTTTACATTCGGCCTTCAAACTGTTCTTTTCACTTAGTCTAGATGCTAAAAGCTCAGAATCTTGCTTGGATAGACTTAAGTCTCGTACTAAATCATTGATCTCTTCCTGGGAGAACTGTTGCTGTTTAGAAGTACTGTCTTCATATTCACTACCACTATCTGCATGTTCGCTTACCAAATTCTGCATATCTTCTTCATCAGACACTGTTAGATCTGGGAGTGTAGTGAACACTGGAATGGGGACATCGTCTGAGTGTGGTACAGGTCGCCTTGCTGATTCCAAATCCGGATACTCAAATTTACGTTTCTTGAAACGATTGATACCTTTCACATTAACCAAACAAAAATAACAGTCACTGTCGTGATTCTTTTGCTCCCGCCATACCATAGGCACACCAAATTTTAAACCTTTTCTTTGTCCATTTTTCCACTGACGTAGATTTTCGACACACGTTTTACATACAATATGGGGAGCCCAAGACTTATCTTGGTCTTCGAGTTTCATTCTAAAGTATGCCAGATATGCTTGCTTCACAAAGTTAGTAATATTTCTTCTTTGGCTCTCCTGGCAATATTCACCACAGATGTGGCAGAATGCATTGGGGTTATTCAAACATCCTCTTCGTGAAGAACTCATTGTGTTCTAAAAACAGGAAAAAGTATATATATATATATATATATATATATATATATATATATATATATATATATATATATATATATATATATATATATATATATATATATATATATATATATATATAAAGGTATGCCCTTTAAAAAGAAATAAAACTATTTTACTGTAAAATATGCATGAACGAAGATATTTGTATAAGAATATATCTGGAACACCCTGTATCTCAAGAACTAGAGCCAATCGTGGAAAACTAATGTCATTTCTGAAATCAGCACACCCGATATACTATAAATTCGTAAAAATATCCTCGGCAGCAAAAAAAAAATTTTTTTTTGTTGGCCAGTGTTATCATTTTTGATATAATTTCGTAAATTGATTAATTTATAAATTTGTAATTAATTAAAATATAAATTAGTAAGGTAATTGAGAACCAAGACATTCTTTTAAGAAAACATTTTTCTATAACATTAATTTGATTTTTTTGGTTATTGATTTTTTAGTTTTAATAAATTATTTTTTTTATTTGTAGTCATTAAGATGCTCCCAGAAGTCCTTATGGTCTTATCACTGAGCACTTCTGAAGAGCATTTAACTATAAAATTCATGCCTCTTTCCTTACCAATATTGTTTATTCGGCTAAAATCAGCCTCAAACCTCAGACCTATTGGTTCTGAGCCACAACTCTAACCATTGTATTTTGGGTACTGAACACTGCGCCACAGCTGCAGTTATTGGGCTACTGTTGCATTATTTAAGAATAATATATTTCATAGAAGTGACAATTGAACTTTAAATTGAATTTTAAAAATAAGGGTTTGCAAAAAGATTTAGAGTCAGATGTAAAAAACAAAGAAAATAACTCTCAACCAATCATTTTTTTTTATGTTGACAGACTTTTCTTAAAATTAGTAGATATATAATAAAAATAAAATCAATAGAAATAAAACTTTGATTGTATTATTAGCTGTTTTATTTTAAACCTTATTTTATCTACATTGCATTATTTTTAATTTACAATTTTAAGATAACTAAGACTATTGGCAGATGTGCCATTATACTGAACATGAGCATGCTGCAGAAGTAGTATTAAAATCATGGTAAAACAATACAAGGTTTTTAGATCCATTAACCTTGATTCTGGCATTAGCATATTTTGGACTGAATAAGATTTTTTTTTGTAAAAGTTCTTATTCAGTCCAAAAAGATTTAAGAACAGATGAAATGAAAGCTATAATCTTTCTTAGAGTAGTTTTTTGTTAATAAAGAGCAGCCACTCTGTCTTAAGTTGTATATATCATTGGACTCTTGGTTGATTTTTGATATTCTAGTTCATAGTTTGAAAAAATGCCTACTGATAAGACTCCCTCAGACTTTTTGAATACAATAAGTTTCAAACCTTGTAAAATCTTTCAAAGTTGTTAACAATTTATAATGGTTTAGGAAATTTATTTCTCAAAACAATAAATATATTTCTTGTTTTAAAAAATAAATTGCTAGCTAGTAAATATGTTTGTAAATATGCAAAGTTCTTTATTTGCTTTAGAAGCAAATAAAGAGTTCTTGTAAAAAATCATTAAAAAAGAAAAGTGGATACAAGGCTAGCTACGGCGACTGCTTCCTCACAAATGGCTATGAGTTGAGTAATGAACTCATTGAAAAGCACAGTGTTTTTTTTTGGTACAGGAATACATAAAAAATTATAGTTGAAAAAATTAACTGGATTCGACATCAGAATCTATTTGCACTAATGCTTGGAAACTTGTCTATATTTAGTCCAAAATTGCAAAAAGCATAACTTTGAACAATCAGCGCAAATACTTCTTACAATAAAAAGTAAAAAAAAAATTTGCAAATATTGGCATAAGTGCAAATTGGCATAAATGCGAATTGGCATAAGTGTGGACTGGCATAAGTTAACTTAAGCCAGTTTTGCAACTTCTTAGCACTTATACCAGTTCGCACTTATTCAGCTTCTTGATAAAAAAGACAACAGTATAACTGACATTCCCATTAAAGTTAAACCATGCTTTAAGTTCAGATGTACTTAAGGAATAAGTTTGGAGTTCTTTTGGCTATCTATAGCAACTTCTGAAATTACCTCAGAATTGCAAGATATACCTAAGCTGGTTATTTTTGTAATCTTTTTGAATAGTTTGAAGTGTATGACTTTTATACATAACTATAGTTAAAACATTTTTCAAAAACTTCTACTCATTTACATTCTTTTCCCCATTTTAAAAGTTCCCAGTTTTAGATACAAAAAAATACCATAATTAATAGTATTTAATAACTTTAACTAATATAAAAGAAATTTTTATTTTTAAACCTTTTTATTAATTAAGAACTACTAAAGGTCTTTTTACTTTTTACAAATTCAATTTTAATTTAAGTTGTACTTAATTTTTAGCAAAACAAACTTACTTTTATTAGCATAAATATTTTTTTGGTGTGACTAAGGTAATAGAAAAGGATAAGGGATGTGGTATTTTTTAAAGTTTTATTCCTTATAACATTTTTTTGGTGCATAGGAAAATATTTTCCTAACTTTTTAATGCACTAAAAAAAATGTCAAAAGAAATAAAACTTTAAAAAATACCACATCCCTTATACTTTTCTCTTTCCTTGGCCACACAAAAAAATTCTCTTAGTCGCTTGTCTTAATAAATTAAAAAAAAATTAAGGGAGGATTTGGAAAAATATCCCATCACTTCCTTACCCCTAACCTTGATCCAACTCCAGATACAAAAAAGTAGCATTATGTCTTTTTAGAAAAGACAAAAAATGCAATAATATTGTTTGCTTTGAAAGTGATGCCTGATGCCTATATTAATTCCTAATTCATTCAATACTGCTATTGAATGACAAGAAATGCTACAAAAAAAATGCTGAGTCCGCATAAATTGAAACCTGAATATCTCCAGAACTTGGATACTCAAACTTTCAGATTTGTCTTATTTTCATAAACCAATAAAAATAACTTAATAAGCCCATAAAGAAATAACTTTAAAATAACAAAGCTAATATAGCTAAAATAGAAGCTAACATCTCAGTAACTCTACATTCATATAAAGAAAAAATTCCATTTTCCTACTTATTATGTTTAAATTGGCCTAGCTAAAGAAATTAGGGATGAAATATCATTTACACTAACATTTAAGTATTGTTTTAGCAGTATTCTATGTAATCTAGATTAGATTCCCTTCTACTTAAAACAAATACTTGCATGTAAATTGACTTACTTTACTTTAACATAAATAGAATCCAATTCTCTCTTGTGCATACTTTAAAGTATGTTTGTGTTGTACAAAGTACTTTGCTGCTTTATTGTATTATTAAGTGTTGTAAATATATACGTTGATTATTTAACTTGTTTATATTGTATTTTATTGTATTTTATTTTATTTTATTCGTATTTTATTATTGTAAAAATACGATAACAAAAAATTTTATTCTAAAATTTCTACAAAAATATCATTGTTGTCAGTTTTGAATGTTTAATATATCATTAGATTCAAATAATAAAGCTTCTATGCAAGCGTGCATAAAAGCTTTATATTGTATTTTATTCGTATTTTATTATTGTTTTATATTGCTTTATATTGTATTTTATTCGTATTTTATTATTCGCATTTTATTATTGTAAAAATACGATAACAAAAAATTTTATTCTAAAATTTCTACAAAAATATCATTGTTGTCAGTTTTGAATGTTTGATTTATCATTAGATTCAAATAATAAAGCTGTCAAAAAATACAGCTTCTATGCAAGCTGAGTTGTCAGTTGAGAATTTCTATGGTAATTTCACAAATGCATTCTTTAGTTATAATTCCTGTTTGAATTTGTTGTTGTCCACTTGAGAGATAATTTATGAATAAATTTTTTTTTTTTTGGATTGTATACATATAAAGTAGTAAAAATAAATACTAGAATCTTCACTATGACTGCGTATATCATTATGTTGAAAAAATTTAATTTGTACTGTGTTTCAGCAGATTGTATAGGTTCATCCATGTGTTCAAAACCAAACATTCGCTTTTTTCGTGCTAATATTTTTTTTTTGAATTGTTACTCAATTTCATAAGCGCCTTTCTCCACAAAAAATCGAGCATCTGCAACACTTTTCTCAAAGTATCACGGAATTCTTGAGTCCAAGTACAACAGCGTTTCAACAGTGTCTTTTAAGTTTATTGGAATCGATTGCCATAGTTTAATTATATTATTTTAAAAAATATTATTGATTATTGAGTTTTTAAAAAACTCAACACTTTTTATGTTACGCCATACTTATGTACTTATGTTACATAATAAATTTCTTTAGCTAAATAATAAAATTTATCTTAATATACTTTTTATGTTACTTGAAAACATACCTGTTTCTTTAGCTAAATGATAAAATTTATCTTTTCGACTTTTTCCAACCTTTCCTTTTTTACCCATAATGTGCTTTTATAATATGCAGCTAAAATTATATATAAATTTTAATATATGAACAGAGTTGAACACTTTATTTTTTTAATATTATAAACACACATACATATATGCATATGTATACATGAATAAATGCTTACATACATACATACATACATACATACATACATACATACATACATACATACATACATACATACATACATACATACATACATACATACATACATACATACATACATACATACAGGGTTAGTATAACATATTTCCAAAAGCTCTATGATTGAGTTTATTACTAACTCTATAAGAACAGACTTGTTTTTTCACTGATAGTTTAGCGTTCACAAAATTAATAAGTGCAACACCCTGGAAATAAAACTTTTTATCTTCACTTTAGTCACTTGGGAAAAGAAACATTTTTCTGTTGATAAATAGTGTATTTTGAAAACAATTTAATTTGTTTTTACCTTTTTGTATAAACAAATTAAAATTGCAAATTGCAAATGAAATCAAAGAGACCTTCAATACAAAACAACTACATTAAAAATGTATTTCTTGGCAACAATTACAATACAAACTTTGGAGTTGTTCACAAAAAATTAGGTGGTAATAGTGTTTTTTCCCATTTAAAAAATGATTTACCAAATCTTGTTGTTTTACCAGATCTTATTGGTTGTTCAGCACATATTCTCAACAACTGCATTCATCATGGCACAGATCAAATATTAATGTTAAAAGTATTATGTATAAGATTTATCAATACTTAACATTTATAGTTATAATAGAGCTGCTAAAAGATTATTGTAACTTTATAAAAATTCAGTATAGAAAGATTTTGTCTCGTAAAACAAAATGGTTATCACTCTATCCTGGACTAATCAGGTTGATACAAATGTACCCTACTTTGAAATTATATTTTTTGTCCATTGATAAACCACCTAAATTTCTTTAACATTTTTGTTAAAATGTGAAGTTAAGTATGTATATGCAACCCCTGGAATTAGGGTCGCATTCAGCAATGCTGACCTAACTGCCGATCTAAAAGTATTTGAGGTCGGTGAAAATTTGCCAACCTAGTTTCGATGTTTTATGGTAAGACCTTTGTATCAATTTTTTTTTTGCCAACCTCTAAAAAATTGAGGTCAGCAAATTATTGCCAAACTAAATTTTCCTATTTCCGAGGGTTGATGTATATGGCATTTTCACTCGTGTTGGCATTTTTCATGAACTTGTATTAAAAATTGAACAGTCAAAGGCCTTTTTTTGTTTTTGAAATTGTAGATTTTCTGAATTAATAAACCAATTATTAAAGATAAAGAAAAAGAAAAATTTGTATCACTAAAAACTAAATTGTTGCAATATCTAAGGGAAGATGGGAAAGACCAAGAGTGTGATTTATTTACGACAGATGTGTTTTTAATGTATAACTCGAGTTCTGCTGATCTTAAACAATGGATAAGTTCTTTTAATGAGTTTCAAAGTTTTGAAACTCAAACATGAGCTGGGATAAAGTTGAACCATATGTTGAATATCTTGCTTACAAAAATATTGAAATTAATAATTCAAAGTTGTTTGATCAGTTTCAGAACTTATGTAGGTTTGTAAAAAATCTGCTAGTAGTGAATCAAAACCAATTTTGTAACAAATTGCTGGCTCATGAAATATGGACTAAATATTTTAAAAGTTGCAAGACAGCAGAACTTTTTACTGAATTATCAAAAATTGATCAGTTTTACTTTAGTATTATGTCCCATAATGCTAATTGTAGAACACATTTTTTCTTTGATGCAACCACAATGGTCAAAATAAAGAGATAACTTAGCCAACTCAGTGAATGCTACAATAACTGTACAATACAATTATAATCATCTTTCATGTAGACAATATCATGAAATGATTAAGAATGATTCTGCATTATTGAAAAGGGTTAAAAGCTCTGCTAACATACTTATTAAAGGTGTAATGGATGTGTATCGGTTGTGCAAAGGAGATTTATTGGAGTTTTTATTTCACAGTTTATAAAACTTTTAAAAAATGCTTTAGTTAAACTTTTTAATACCAAAACAAAGTTGTCTTGAATTAAAACTCTCAAGTTTGATAGAATGTGCTAAGTTTTTGAATTTGATCTTTGTTATAACCTCAAATTCGAATTATCAGAGCTTGAGCAAATCAATCGAAACCAACCCAACCTATAGAAGCAGGAGTCAAAGCTCCGTAACATCTTTTTTATATGGGTATTTTGTTATATAATAATTCAATTCCAGTAAAGTAAATTTGTTCTCTTAGAAACAAAAAAAATTTCTAAAATAGCTGTCATTTATCCGCTTGTTTATTTTAGTATTTTTAACAAATTAATTCACATTTATTCATTAAAAATAATAATATAAACAAGCAGAGAGGGGAGGGAGGGGAGAAAAACTGAATTTTTAGAAAACTCAGTTAAACATGGGTGATACTAATCCACAAAAATGCTCAAAAAGCTTAGTTATTTTTTGTAATTAAATTTAATGTAAACCCTCAACTTGGAATGTTTTGTTTGTGAAAGTGAGAAATGGACGCTTTCCAATTACAGGGAATCTGCCCATATTGAGTTTTAGGGGTTCAGATACATGTCATTTTGGGGGTTTTCACTTTTGGCACCATTTTCATTTCTGAATAATTTATCATGGACATTAATAAAAAAGCTAATTTTTGTTCCATTTCATTATGTCAGGTTAGGCGTATGGTCTTCATGATCACCCTGCTACTGGTGAGATGTAACCCAGTGCAACCTGTTTTGTGTCTGGCTGCCTTGTGGGATTTGCTTTCTAAGCAAAAGCTGGACGAAGTTTGCTTCCTGTCATCAGTACTATTTAAAATCGGTCATGACTATAGTAATAAAAATACCCTAAAGCTGACTGGGATTCTTTTTGTGATTTTCTTCATGACTCTCAAATCTCATGGCCATTCTCTTCCTTCCATTCTAACTAAGCAGGTTAACCAATTGACATTCAAATCATTCCAGTTTACGTTGCTAAAGTAATATCTTAATTAAACTTTTCTACAGCTTGTGTTAAAGACAACATTCCTGTCATAGTCTTAAAAAATTGTTCTCCAGAACTATCTTCAATTCTCTCTGAACTATTTAATAAGTACTTGACTGAGTCTTGTTTTCATGCCGTGTGAAAAATAGCATTTGTTGCTCCAATTTTTAAAAACTTAGGGTGAACATCCAAACCCCTTGTTATTAGCAAGGTCTTTGATTCTTTGATCAACAAATTTCTTACATCCTATTTTGAGTCAAAAAACTTACTGTCAGACAATCAATATGGTTTTCGATCCTCTTGCTCTACCAAAAACATGCGAACTGCTGTGACTGAAAGATTTTATCATGCACTAGATGAAGGCGGAGAGGCTGGGGCTATTGCTCTTGACATATCTAAAGCCTTCTCCATTAGCTTGTTTCATATGGTGTATCAGGGCAAGTTTTTGAGATTATCAAATCATTTCTTTCTAACTGCTTTATTAAAGTCATCCTCAAAAGCCTTTCCAGTATTCTGTGATACTTCAAGATTATACCCTTGGTCCTCATTTGTATCTTGTCTATATTAATGATCTTCCTGACAACCTTACATCTAAAGTTGCTCTTTTATTAATGATACAACTTTGTACTCCTGTCCTTTTTTGGATTTCTTAGAACAGGCAGCCCATCTTGAATCTGATTTAACTTCTGTAAAAGATTGGGGCTGGCAGTGGTTTTTAAAACTCCAACAAATTTCAGTTATTTACTGCAAACAAGTATCGCAATAATGTCGACATTCCTATATTAATGAACGGCAATGAACTCTCACTGAGTCCTCTTCTTTACGTCTTCTTGGATTATTGTTACTACTGACCTTTCATGGAAACTATATATACAATCAATTGCTAAATTAGCATCTGCTAAAGTGGTCTCTCTTTATCACACTGATTATTATCTTTATCTCTCTTTATCATGCTGACTATCACTGCAAGGAATAGGTTATCAAATTTAGGCTCTTTTTTCTAATGATGCTCTTTCTCTTCTAGACAAGGTCAAAAAATGCGTGGTAAATGACCAATTGATATTTAACCAGGGCCAGGGCCAGGTTTGATAAAATATAGCCAGGGCCTTTCTTATTCTAAATTTGTTAAGAAAAAAACTTACTTTCCTGCTAGTTTGTACAAATTTTTTTTTGCGAGATCATCATGAGGACATTATAAGTGACATTAATAAGGCATTGTATAGACGTCATATGGATGTCTGTGCCCTCTGGGTTAAAAAAAAATGATTGTCAATGCTCTCAGCAAGCTCACATTCAATTAAAATTAATGTTAAAGCAAAAAGACATTACTTTGTCATTGTTGATCACAGATTTTTTTTTATCTCTAGTTTACTGAAACTTCTCACATCATAAACTCGTGTAAAAGGAAGAGTGAATTTGTTTTTGTAGAGTATAGACAAGTTAGGAAAACATGATGCCATCTATTTCTCTATTAAGCATGGATGTACACCGTTCATTTATAGTTCAGTTGTCACTGCTGGAGATATTGATGCATACACATATTTGAAAGAGGGCTGGAGTGAGTAGATTTCAAGTGGTGAGGGGATGCCATACGGGTTTGTGCCAAAAACATTTTTAACTCATAAAAACAAATCTAAATTGCTCCACAATGATGAAATCAGTTAATTTAAAACTTTTTTTCCCCTCCTTTTCACAGTTGTTTTAACGCACCAAGTCATAGTTGTTTTGATACACAAAACTATGTTTAAAATCCTTTGAATGTGTACATTATGATTACAAGAGATATGTTATTAGAACAAAACATTTCTGTTTCGAATTTTTGCCACAAATGCGGGAAAATGTGTAAATAGTTAGTTGCTAACTAATTTTCTATTTCTATTTAAATAAATGCAGAACTTTCTAATAAGAAATTTATATTTTCGGGGGTGCTAATTGACTGACTTAGGAAGCATAGGGTGGGGGGGGGAGCAGCTCCCTTTATGGTGAATCTGCCACTGTATCATAATCATCATCATCATCATCATCTTCTCTTTCGGCAAATACTACACCATATAAATACTAAAGTTTATACAAATATGAAACGATATTGT